TTTGGTTTTTCGAGACAGGGTTTCTCTGTGGCTTTGGAGCCTGTCCTGGAACTAGCTCTGTAGACCAGGCTGGTCTCGAACTCACAGTGATCCGCCTGCCTCTGCCTCCTGAGTGCTGGGATTAAAGGTTAACTTATTTTCTTGAGGGAGAAGCAGTGTGAGCAGTGTCTGTTGTTCACTTCCCCACCATGTGGGAAGCACAGGCTTTGGCACACATGGCACTCGGATAATATTGTCTAATGGATAGCGCACATTTCCCCTAGCTGAAATGCATCATCTGGCGATTGACTGCTATAAGTTGGCTGTCAGATTTGAAGAGTGAGAGCATGTCCTGCTTCCTCTCCACTCCAGCAGCAACAGTCCATGTCTAGAGCACTGTCCAGCCTCAGAAGTCAGTTCCTGACCAAGCCTCAGCCAGCGTCTAGTCCAGGGGAGAAGCTGACTTCGGCAGTGCAATCATTTCTGTGGTCAAGGCACTCCTGTACTTTTATAATCTTATCTCTCCTTTGCTTCTCCCCCAGATTGTTCCATATCTAACTTACTCTCTAGGTACTCAATTAATTCCCTCGTTTACTGTCTGATGGGGTCTCCTGTGGGCAGTAACTTACGGCTGTTGTCGAGTCTGCAGTGCTGCCTAGAAGCAGCATGGTTTCCATCTCAGAGGGCAGTGACTCCTGCCACTCCCTGACATAGGTGTTAACAGAGGAGAGTGGGTCACCTGGAGTCTAATCGGAGGGCTACAACTTCTTTTGTCTTCCTGTTGCTTTATCACCACAGCATCTCAGCATCTCCAGCTGTCTCCTGTGAATGGCAGGGAAAAGGCTTTAAATCTGTTCTCTTCCTTACAGGTAAACTTTAATGAGCCCTTGTCCATGCTTCAGCGCCTTACTGAAGATCTGGAATACCATGAGCTATTAGACCGAGCTGCAAAATGTGAGAACTCTCTAGAACAGCTCTGCTATGTTGCAGCCTTCACCGTTTCCTCCTATTCCACTACTGTCTTCCGAACCAGCAAGCCATTCAACCCTCTCCTTGGGGAGACCTTCGAACTGGACCGACTAGAGGAGAATGGTTATCGATCCCTCTGTGAGCAGGTAAAGAGCCCAGATCTGTAACACTTTTCCTTTCTTATGACTGGGTAGGTTTTGAGAAGCCAGTCTCAGAAAGCCCATTCTGTCTTCTTTTTCATTAGGATTCAACACACTAGGCCTGTCGTTTACCACTGTTGTGGATGTAAAAATATAAAGGGAGACTCTTGAGTGTTTATTGCCAATTAATGAGCCATGTCTTTCTCTTCTCCAGTCTTTTCTTAATTCAAACCTGATTTCTTCAAGGTGAGTCATCATCCCCCTGCTGCTGCACACCATGCTGAATCCAAAAATGGCTGGACATTGCGTCAGGAAATCAAAATCACCAGCAAGTTTCGAGGCAAATACCTCTCCATTATGCCCCTCGGTAAGGCCACCATGTTTGTTCCGGTGAAATGTTGAAATAGGAGCGGCAGGGCTGCGTCCCCGGCACCCGGCCGCCCGCATGGCTAGCTTATGCCCAGAAATAATTACACGGAAACTGTATTCTTTCAAACACTGCCTGGCCC